AGAAAATAAGGGTGTTTTCAGATGAAGTAAAGAGATCATAATTTGATAATTATAACATGTGTGACTTGTTTTAAAAGTTATCTCATGATGAAGGGCATGAGTAACCAAGAGTGAAGATGAAACTCCACACACAAAGCTAAGTCACATTACTTGATAAACAAAATCATTCAAGACAAATGATACTTGTCTAAGGTCAAACAAGGTTGACAAAGATCAAGTGAAGATAAATTGATACTTATAAGTCCTAGAGAAGTGGAAACATCCCTCTTAAAGTATCTATCATGAACTCAAAACCCTAAGCAATGCCATTGATGTAACATGCTTAAGTGTCATGACAACTTATAAAAGCTGTAGTCTCTAATCAATACAAGCATAGATGATCTAAAGAGATCAAACCCAAGGTTCTTAGATGTTATAGGAAATGGCCAAAATTAAGATACCTCAAGGAGACATAGAACAAAGATTATGAGGCAATCATTAGACAATGATGCTCAAGGAAGACAAATAAGAAAGTAAATGTAACTCTCATTATGTCACCATGTTAGTTGGAAAATGAGTGCCAACTAAAAGGATAACAAGATAATGGAGAATTGGGATGAGAAAAGAAGTCAAGATCAAAAATTAAACATTGAAAAGTTGGACTCAAAGTCCTCAACAATAATCAACACACATCATACATACATTAAGTCAAAACAAAAGGTCAATGTGAAGTAGAAAGAAAGGTGTGATTAATTGATCATGGCATGGAGTATCAAAATAAGAGTGAGGTCAGAAGTAAATACATCATGTTAACACACTCTAAAACTTTTAATCATCCTTAAGGCATCATTATTTAGACACACACACACACAAATTAGTGCAACAATTAGGTAAAAACTCCTCCTATCATACTCCTAAAGACAAGTCAAGTTCAAGAAGGGACATGGATGAAGATCAAACATGATTAGAAGATGTGTGACATGAAAGTCAGCAACACAAAAGCTTATAAGGGATGATATTCAAGCATCACACATAATGCAAGAAGATCATGCACAAAAAAAAAACACAAGAAAGGAGGCCATGAGAAGCAAACAATCATTGATCAAACCAATCTGAGTTAGAGGCAAGAGAAAAATTAGAATGAGGGATCATAATAATACAAAGTCAGTAGAATACCATACTCAAAATGTTATCCTAAAACTATGCACATAAACCACCAATTGAAAGCACTTTAGACAAAGTAAACTTTTATGCAC